TCATAACGATACCGTGTGCGGCTCGTTGTTTATAAGCGTAAGGACGCCCGAAAGTCTAGCCCACAATAAGAAAAAATTAATTTGGTTAATCAAAGCACGGGTTTCGGAACACTTTAAAAAATACTTTAGGATATAAGTTGTAGCAAATTTTATTGTACAACCGTATTTAGCCAGGCGCCAGCTTTCCCGGTTTAAAATTTTAGAGTACAGATTAAAAATATAGTGTTTTTTTAGAGTAAATTTTATTCTATTATTTACTCTACTTATGGATAAACTCTATTAGAGATAATTTTTTTAATATACTCTAATGGATTAAAGTTTCCTGTTGTAGATATACATTGAACATGCTAGAGTTAAAATTTAATTCTTAACAGTGTTGAAAGTTACTCTAAATCCAGACAAGCCCTAACAAGTTCACAACCTTTCTTGCTTGAACACGTGGTGATGTGAAATGAAAACAAGGCGTGTTGTTCACTTTGTTCTCAACGGTCCCGTCGTTACTACCTATCTTGGTTATAAACGAATCGGTTATTATAGTGTTAAGGATAAAGGATAGTGAAACAGTTCAGCTTTTAATAGAATTTAAAAAAGAAACAAAAATGCAATTTGGACAAGAATTTGGATAATAAAACTCTGAAAGACTGTATCGATGAATTTCCATCAGAGTTCCAATTAAAAATTTCCAAATGCTTTAAATATTTGTATTATTATAAGAAGAGGATGATTCTATGTACTGATCTGACTAAAGAGAAATTGTCACAATATTAGAAATAGATGGAAATAGATTTTTTGTAACAAAAATGTTAACAATTATTTATGTGGATATAGTAAATGCATTCAAAGTGCAAGTTCCTATTAAAAAAGACTTAAATATTGTAGATTTAAATCTCCTGATATATAAGGAGCCGTTCAATTTAGCGCAAACGCAATTAGAGGCTGATTTTTATTTGGTATTAAAATATGAATTTATTTTTTAGTTTAAGTTTTCGTGTTAGTAGTTTAAGTGTTTTGCATTAAAAATGACACCTGCATATGATTTTGTTTTATAATTTCAGTATGCTTACTTAAATATAGCGACTTAGTATATATTAAGATAGCATAAATGCAATTATTTATTCGATTGTTCAGTTTTTACAATAATCAACCTATTTTGTGAACACTGTCCATTTTATTATAACTCTATTTAGAATATACCTAAATCTAATTTTAAGTATATTGCTAAATCTACGTAGATTGTAGCATTCTATTAAGAATATGTCAAACGCTAATTTCGAGTGCACTGTAAAATCAGTATTGATTATAATTTCAACTCTACCGAGATTTAATATGTAATCTGTGTTCACTCATCGTAGAGTTAATAATTCACTTTGCCATAGATTCATTTAATCTCTAAAATTTACTCTAACAACCGATTGAAATATTTACTCGAAAAGTGAATGGACCTCCTGGAAACATGTTAGATTTAAAATAGAGTTAGTTATTTTTTACCGTGTGTCTTTGGTTATATTTCGAGTTATTCCGGGTGTTTCAGAATTGCACGGCACTATTTTTGGGGTGTATTCTTCAGCACAAAATAAATAAAAAAATTCATATAAACATATGTCCCAAATTAATTTATTGTCGAGATATTTAAAGTTGAAGTCAAATATCTCAAAGTATTGCGTTAATCAAGTAGCCATGGGCAACCATCGCATATTGTTTTTTTGTTTGACAGATGATTAAATATCTACTATTAAATGTGTTATTTAGTGCTTAACACTGTTGGTGTAGTGGTTTCTTTTAGTGCTATACGAAGAATTTAATTTTTAGTAGTTATCATGGGCGACACCAAAAATTTGTTCATTTTTGCAGAGCAAACAGACATATTGTTAATTTATCGCCATAAATTAACAACATGTTTGAAGTCATTGAAAGATGTCTTAGGGAATCTCGAACGCTAAAACCTACACGAATAAACGTTGCACAGAGAGAAATATATTCTTGAACGAACATTATTACTCTTGACTCAAGCTTATCATATTCTTATACAAAGTAAATCAATAATCTTGAAAAAGAGTATCTTAGTGTTACGTCAACAACCCCATTTTCGTATCGAGAATAGATTTCTTAAGTCTTGAATAACGTATCTTTCTTTTTAGAAAAACTTATTCATGTAACAACAATCTTGTATAATTCTTCATTTGAGCATTATAAATTATTGACGCAAGAATGGATTTTTTGATACAAAAAATTGATATTCTTCGATACCAAGAATGTCATATTCTTCATTCGATTATATTTCTATTCTTAAAACAAAAAAATATTTTTGTTTCAATATTATACTTGTTTTTAAGAAATACGTTCAAGAATAAATTTTTCTTGAGAGTCAAGAATAATTTCCGTGTTTCAGTGTGGTCGACAAAGGTTTCGACAAACTGCTAACGTTCAAGAAGTCGAGTATGAATCGATGCTGTTCAGTTATCTCCTAGTACTAGTACCTTTCAATGTTTCGATTATAAGCGTATGGCGAATATTGCGTGAGTAACAGTTGTATCCATATCACGTTACACATGTGCAAGATTTATTACCAGAAGACTACAACAAGCGCAGACATTTCTGCCAGTGGTTAATTCGACAATGTACACGAAACCCTAACTTCCTGAGCTGTCTCCTAGTTCCTGACGAATCTTGTTTTACTAATAGAAACGGGATTATTAATTTTCGAAACACCCATACTGTTTCCTTAAATGTCTGGTGTGATCTTCTTGGTGACAATCTCATCAGCCCTTTCTTTTTACCACCCACGCTTTAATGTTTCTTTATTTATGCAAAAAAGTGCATGCACTCTTACACCTGTCAAAACACATATTATATATAGTAATTAAAACTACAGAAATACTCAAAATTTACATATCGTCAATATTACAATTTAAAAATTCTTGTGTGGAATAAAACGCATTTTTTAACAGGAATACTTTTAACCGTGCATTAATTTCAGTGGAAGGTAACTCAAGGACCGCTCTGGGTTCTTGACAGTCTGAAATAGTCTGGGCAAAGATTTTCTCTCCCTCGTATATTGTGAGAATGAATATTAGAAAGTTCTCTGACCAAATTGTGGTTCTCCATAACGTACATAATACAACGCAATATATATAGCGATGGCACAGTGAGAATAGACAAAAGCAGGGCGGCAATCATCCCTGTAAGCTATACCTGCCAGAACACGCACAGCCATATGTTGTATTTTAAACATTGTTCACTCCCGGGATCAGCACCTCATGCAAGAATTGAATAGCTAAGTAATGAGTGAACAAATAATGCATAGTAAGCGTTTTTCGCCACACTTAGCGAAATACCAGTAGCAAGTCTACGCAGTAAATAAATATTTTTACTTATTTTAGACTCCATACAATTAAAATGATTGGAAAAGCGCAATGAAGGGGCGGTGATATATGTTCCTAAAAACCACAACCACAAAACCGCAATCCTTACCACGGTAGGATTGCGAGCCACAAGCCTACGGTTAAGGCCTACAGCTAAAGTTGGACAGTTTTATCGTCATTCAGACACAGCTCATTGGCTACACACCAATCACGCGCCCTCGACAGCGCCTCTGTTGAAAGGTTTAATGTCATCGTAGTTAGATCCCCGAACCAACAGTGTGGCATCATCCGCATAAAGCAGGCACTTTAAAAAAGTTATGTCTTTACTTACGTAATAGGGAAAATCGTTAAAATAAATAAAGAATAAAAGCGGGCCAAGTATCGAACCCTGTGGCACTCTCCTAGTTACACTCACAGAGCTAGAACTTAGTTCACCTGTTTTTACAATTTGGGATCTACGCAACAAATATGGGTGTAGCAAATTTATAGTTATATGATCCATATTATATTTAGTTTCTAATTTCTGCAATATTTCAGCTTTCCGGAATATCTTACTTGAATTTTTTGCAAAATAACTTGTATGAGCTTCTAGAAGACATTCCGATTTCCGATAGGCAGGGAATGTGGTTTATGCATGACGGTGTCCCTTCACTTTTCTCATCTTGCCACTGATTATTTAAACAGAGCATTAGTAGCACAGTAACCAATGGATTGGTCGAAACCGACTTGTGAAATGACCACTACGGCCTCCTGAACTAACACCGTTAGATTATTTTGTGTGGGGCTGGATGAAATCTATGGGTTACTTTACGTCTATCAGCATCCAAGAAGAGCTAAGAAATCGCATCGTGGAAGTCGCAGTAATTATCAATGGCCGTCCTGATGCTATAAGACTTGCCAGAGAAGCGTGGATTCATCGTGCTCAATGTTGCATTCAACAAAACGGGAACCATTTTGAACATTTACTCTGACCGCTTCATTGACAAATTAAAATTTTTCATTTTCAATATTTCGGTAATAAATTAATTTGAGACATGCAATTCCGTGCAATTCTGAAACAGCCTGTATAATCGATTTAATATAACTTAATGTTTTCTTATTGTGGATAAACAACGAGCCGAACACGGTGTCGATCTGAAGCCCTCAGATCTCTCTTTCCATTAACCTTGTACAACCGTACAAGGTTAATAGAAAGAAGTGAGATAGGGCATTTCATTATTTCGATAGAAGAAACTATGGCAAATCGAATGACGTAGACCTTTTTAATATAGAGTTGGTACATCGTTTACGAGTAATGACCACATAAAAAAAGCATTTTTGTGTTATTTTCGTGTACTTTCGCAATATTTTTGCGTTTTAGCAGAATTCGAAAGAGATTTCGAATCGAGCATTTCCACTTTCGTATTGGCCAAGGATCAAAGTTTTCAAATAAGATACTGTTCGTCAAAATCGGTTGAGAGGTTCTCTTATAATCAAAATAATACACATATAAAATCCTATCTAATTAGGGGCTAACTTCGCATATGTCTTAAATACTTTCACTGAACTGATTATAATTTGCAACGTAAAGGAATGTTCTAATCTGTATCAAGGTTGAACACATTGATTAATAACTCATTTTTCTTTTTTTAATTTTAGATGGAGAGGCAGTGTTTACAAACTGGTATGGAGAGAACTCTTAGCCTACTTGTTCCTATATTATTCCATAAACTTTATATGTAGATACGCTTTGAGCACCGAACAAAAAAGGTAAGATCGTAAAAGAAACACCGATTATTTCCTATACTATTAGTGAGACAGTGTTAATTTTTTTATAATGACATTTATTCGTTGTTTAAGTCATAGATATAAATAGATAGGAGTAAATATTATCGATTGCTTTAACGAGAATGATTAAAGGCGATAGAATAATCTAACATAAGTCTATCAACTATTATTTTGTTGATTTTTTCTTTCATTGTTTTTTTTTTGTAGGACGTTCGACAAAATTCGAGTGTACTTCAGTCAGCAAAGCGAAACCATACCCATGTCTTTTGTACTAGGATTTTATGTTTCGTTAGTTGTTAAGCGATGGTGGGAGCAGTACAAATTACTTCCATGGCCTGATACCTTGGCGTTATTTGTAAACGCTGGAATTCCTGGAATGGTAAGTCTTAAATTTTACACCTTAAAATTTAAATGATATTTGCGTGTGTGATAGCCCGATCCAGAAATGTGTCTGATGTGCAATTTTCCAAAATTATCAACTCCAAAAAAGAATTACATTTTATATAGCGTAATATCGCTTTAATTAAAAATAAAATTCTTTCATTGTATTCGAGTTATTTAATATTTGTAAAGAGAACGTGAATCGACACCGCAAGAAGTAGTGATAACATACATAACAACTTCAACGAAAAAATAAAAATGTTATTACCGTCTATTCGCCATATTTCTTAGAAAATCAACTTTCGATTATTATCCTCCAAGTTGTTAATGTTTGGTATGTCAATTAAAACATTCGTTTGTCGAAGAATTTCAATAGGACAATATTGTCGAAATATTTTCACTTAGAACAATAATAATCGAAATATATCCTGAATAGATGAGTCTTTTTTAGATAGTCTGTGGTAGTGCTCATTTAAAATTCAATTATGACGTTTGGATAAATGTATATATTTTAAAGAACCATTGAAATTTGCTTTAACTATTTAGTACTATGTATAGATTGCTGCCGTGTATTCTTAGAAACTTTTTTCTCGGAGCGTATGCTGAAAAAAATTTTATACTAGGTATATTCAAGGATTCATTATGGCATTGTCGATTTCAATTGCTTCTTAGAAATAGTTTTAAGCAATTTTTAAATCTATTTTAAGCGATTTTAAGCTCTTCTAATGAATTTTTAGAAAATTTCTTTTTTTGAACTGCAGCAACGGTAAAAGCGAAGTCAAAGGTCGACCGTCAATTTCAATTCGCATTCACTTCGAAGTTAAATACTGTTAATAGGAAATTATTTGTTTTTTTTTGATATAGAAACGACGTGGAATATAATTGTGTTAAAATGTGAATCAAACAAAATTTAAAAGATATTTAAGAAAACACTCTAAAATTTAAAATTTATTGCCGAAATCTATAAAAACTTCACGTTACTCCTGGAAAAAATTACTCATTTAAATTCCCGAAACAAATACTTATAGTAACCTTTAAAATATGTCGATGACTTATAGTCAAAGATAACTCACAGGAAATGAATTTGGGGACCAAATATGTGTTATAGACAAACTAAATTAAGGTGTTCCCACTATTTTTAATATATTTTTTTCCTGTCGCTTTATCAAGTGATTCAAAAATTTTAACTAAAACTAGAACTTACACTAGCACCAGACCTAAGCACTAGACTTCGTCGAGTTAACTAGCATTTTCCATGTGCTATATGTTGATGGATCTCTTGCTTTAGAATTAATTTCTGGCTCTGGCTAGCACCTTGGTCTTATCGAAATCTATCGTATGTCCCTTTTTGTGGCAAAGCTCTGCGGCTGCCGACTTTATTTAGTCGGAAATGCTCCTTGATGCGTCATTCGATGGTATGTCCACTTTGACCAAAGTAATGCTTCCCACAGTTGCATGATGGCCGATAGACTCCCGTTCCCTTTAATGGGGTTACTTTGGCTTTAGCTATCGGAGCGTTCCGAATCTTACTGACCGTACCGTATCATAACACGATATCGTTCTTTTTCAGACACCTCGTAATCCGCGCCGTCACACTAGAAACATAAAGGAGGCAGATAAAACCAGCTGGTGTAGTACTTACCTCGTCTTCTCTTTGTTTGCGTTGCTTGATGGCTCGCTCAGAGTGTAACCGTTCTTCTGGAGTACATCTTCTAGAAATGCTTCTTCTTTCTTTACATTCGTTTCGTCATATATCCTTTCTGGTCGCTGGATTTGGATCATTGATATCTTCTGTTGTGTGGACTATGCCCCCCTCTATCTCTCTAGTGAGATTAACATCCAGGAACGGCAACTGTTTTTGCAGCTTCAATTTCCACTGTAAATTTGATCATGGGGTGCTGGGAGTTCAGGTGGTCTAGGAATTCGTGGGAAGAGCTTTGGACTCTTCCTTAACGCTTCTTTGTCAAACATCTTCCTGTAGAAATTGGCGATTACCAGTGGCAAAGGTGATCTCTTGGCTGCTCCTTCGCATTGTTCGTAGAGTTCGCCCTTCCATTTAAAATATGTAGATGAGTATTCCAATTGTCCTGGAACATACTTCGGTAAGCCGACTGGGATGAGTTTCTGGAGAAGACTATTCACGGTATCTTTATCTGGTACTCTGGTAAATCCTGGGGATCAAACTTTCTATTTTTGTTCGATTCCACAAAGTACGTAGAATCTCTGATGTATGATTCTGTTCTTCCTGGAAAAGGTGACAGAATCATGGCAAGGTGTTTCGCCAGTTGATACATTGAAGAATTTATGGTACTGACAATAGGGCGGGGCGGGTCATCCGGTTTATGGATTTTAGGTAATCCATAAATTCTTGATGATACTGGGATCTATACAAACACACTTCTCTGTTGTTCTGCTGGTATGTCTATAGATTTCACAAGTTCTTTTATTTTTCTTATTATCTTCTCGGTTGGGTGTTTCTTGATTTTCGCATAGGTGGCTGGATCCAAAAGGCTCGTCATGTTGTCGTATTCTTTCCTGTCCATGACTCTGATCGTCCATAGTGCCCTACTTTTGTTGATTGTAAGATTTGATTTGGGGATTCGATGAATTAAGTACTCTCGCCATATTTTATCGAATTTTCTCCGATTTCACCACATGTATTTTGCGAATAGTCACTTCCACATCGCAGATACTTTCGTCTTTCAAACCATCATCGTAGTGATTGCGTAATTCAAACCTTTGGCGAGCACTGTAGTTTCTTTCACTGTTAATGGGACTTTTGATGGGTTGATGTATAATTTAGTGCAAAACTTCCCAGAAAATAAACCTGGGTCATCTTTAGAAATAAAACTAGAAATTTCCGGGTTATGTCGGTCCTATATTAAAATATTATTATCGAGATGTCTGGAGTATTGGTCTAGCACCTCTGCTGAAACCACTGTTGGAATGTCCAGAGGCATCCGTTGAAGCACTTCCTTCACATGTATATCATCAAAGTAGTTCTGGGAGTTGATCCCTCTGATCCACAAAAATCAGCAGTGTCTTCCCGGTCGAAATCACTCCAGTCCAAACCATGACCCCTCAGGCATGACTTTCGGGAAACGTAGCGACTACGCTCATTCGCTTAATGAACCGTTCGCGCAAATATTCAAAAGTGGCCTTCATCTGTTCCAAGAGGAGCCTTAGCAATTTTTTGAGATTTTTTTTGGAATGTCATGGCATTATTTTTGTTACGTTCCCGGACTTGTGACTAGTGACACCCTGCAGTTAGTCTTGAGTTAGCCTCTTTTGATTTTCCGTTGAAATCATTACGGCTGGATTTTCTTGGGAGATCCTGCAATGAATAAGACATGGCCTAGTCACTACTTTGATCTAAATGAAGCTGGTGGAAATGTGAACCACAAGTTCCAGAAATTCTTTGTTAATGGATTTTAAACGAAGATGATGTTGAAACAAAACATTTTTTGCGAATCGTTTGGTATATTTTATTATTTGCATGATAAAAAGTACAATCATCTTAATATTTTCTCGCTATTTGTATGCACGAAATTTGTTTTTGGAAATAATGATGCTATGAGCGATATTTAAATAAACAATATATGTGAAGATTTGTATATGTATTATTGTAAGATTATCCTGAATTAATAAGATTTATAAAACGCAATGTTTTATCTTTAAAGGTTTTAATATTCGTTCTGTGTGGTATACTATACGCCGAAATCCAATTTTATTACATTTCACAAGGCTATCATTACGTCAACGATTTCGATTGTGGGACAACTGCTGTTCAGGCATTTATTGTAATTTAGTTTTGTTCCAATTGTTGTGTTTGATATTTAATACTTTCTTATGTTTTTGGCATTTGCCCTTTAATTTGTTTTTTTTTTTCGTATTTTTTATATTACTTTTATTATTTATATTTAAATTCCTGCATACGTTAAATATGGAAATGATGTTTTTACTTTTCGTATAAAAAAAAATATGTCAACTATCGAATATACAGGTGATTCAAAAAACCACTGACAGACTTTTAGAGCAGGTAATACATAAAAAATTAAGATGAATTGTCTTAATTTTCAGTGGGCTCACAAATCTCTCCTTAACGAGATATAGAGCATCAAAGTTTCTTTAAAATTAAACATTATATGCAATAAAAAACCCTTTTTTAAAAATATTTTCTACGTCACTGCTAATTTTCTCAAACGAGCAGTATTTTTTTTTAAACTGATCAATTTATCAATTATCTATTAAATTGGTCTCTTACAAATCTTTGATTAAAGCAACAGTTTTTAAGAAAAACACGTTTGTAGAAAATTTGTTCATTTTAGTTTCTCATCGTAGGCTTCTGCTATTCAAAATAACATTAAACATACAGTGTCAATAACAAGAGTGCAAGTGAATTCAGTACACTAGCTTATAAACTTCTTTTTGTCATTTTTACGGTTATTTTGCAATTACTTCTGCTAGTTCGCTATTATCGATAACAGTAAGAATTACGAATATTTATTTCATGACATCACAGATACGCATCTATGTTATGTTATTTATTTATTTATTTATATACTTGCGAATTTCTTTTGACGTGATACAGTTAGACGGTACAGGGAAATATTTCGTGCACGAAGAACACAAAAGCGGCAAATGTTTAATAATATCGATAGAAAATTAAAAGAAATAGGTAAATTAAAACCAACCAAAATTAATTCTGGACGACGGCGTTATGCTAAAAGTCCGAAATCTCAGAGCAAATGGTTCTGAGAGCAATTGAAAATAATAATATGTTAAGTACCCGACAAATTTCTCAAAATTTGTACATCTCACAATCATCTGAATGGAGAACACTTCACGAACAACAATTGCATTCTTATCACTTTCAACGTGTTCAACATTTATTACCGCAAGATTACCCATCAAGACTAGAATGGTCACGATGGCTGCTTGGCACACTTGCAGAGAATTCCAATGTTTGCACTAATATCGTTCACAGATGAAGCCTCGTTTACGAGACAAGGAATAATTAACTTCCACAATAATCATTTATGGAGCGACGGAAATCCTCACGCCATTCGAATAATAAATTTTCAGCATGAGTCTTCACTTAACGTTCATGGTATTATTGGCGACACGCTCATTGATCCTATTAGGCTACCAAGTAGACTAAATGGCCAGTCTTACCTTAATTTTTTAATGCATGATTTGAACACCTTGTTAGATGAAGTACCACTGGCTGTGCGCAGGATTTTTGAAAGAATAATGAACAATTCCAGCAACTTCTCTGATTTTTTGCATTACTTCCAATTATTACGATTACGTTTTCACAAAATAAATTTGTTTTTTTATTGTTTACATTATTTCATTCTGACAAAATTAGTTGAATTACTTAGAAATCGTTGCTTTTATCAAAGTTTTTTAAGAAACCAATTAATAGATAAGATCACTTTACACGGAAATAATGTTCGTTTGACAAAATTAGCAGTGGCGTAAGAAACATTTTTAACAAAGAGTTTTTTATTGCAGATAATGTTTAATTTTAAAGAAACTTAGACGCCCTACATCTCGTTAAGGAAGCATTTGCGTGTCCATGTATATTAAGACTATTCATCTTAATTTTTCATGTATTACCTACTCTAGAAGTCTGTCAGTCGTTTTTTGAATCACCTGTATAAGTAATTTTGTGGTCACCTCTATAGTATAGAAGTAATGTTATAACCTAATTTAATTACATTTTGCAACACGATTTCATTTTAAATTATTAAAATATCTAAACGCTAAAACGGTTTTTGTACAAAATGTAGAATCAGAGAAAGCAAAACCTTTCACATTCGCTATAATGGTCGTTAGTTTCGCAAGTGTTCGGACTCTATATATAAGTATATACGAGTCAGAGGAATTATCCTTACCGAAATCACTGTTAACCTTATAGAAAATAGGGATTTCACCTCCGAGGAGTCACGTTAACCAGTGGAAAGGGAACTATCTACACAAATCATTTCGATTGTCGTTCTTGGCGCATACCAGATGAGGTTTGCAATTGTTGTGTTTAGAAATGATTTTGTTTTCTTTTTGCGTATATCAATGATGATGTAACCTAATACAACGGACGTAGTGTAACCCAAATCCTACAACACGTACGAATTTGATAAGCCACCAACGAAACAATGCGAATATTGTAATTACCAACGCAAGATTTTTAAACAAGTAGGTACGTTGCGTAATTCTGTCGTAGAATATAAAATTCGACTCATATTAATGAAATGTTTTGACACCGACATCGAAAAAGATTAACTAGAAACAAATATGTACATAAATCTATTTGTAAATTACGTTTGCAATCTCAAACGTAATTTTTTAAGTTGATTTGTTTTTAAGTACGGTTGCGGTTTTGTATAAGAGAATAAAAGATACTATTATGATACTAATTTTTTTCAGTAGGTCAGTTTCGTATTAATCATGCCATCTGACATGACAGTGTGACAATAACTAGAACGGTCAAATCTTCTTATCATTATCGCTCTTGTATTGTCTAATTTTCAACATTTTGTATATTACGTAATTTTTACTTTTCTAATTTATGAGAACTATAAGTCGCATTACTATTATAGCATTTTTTTTTAAATCTAAACATTAAAATTTAAGTACCTCATGATTTGAGTTAGTCTTCTTGGAAAATATTAACGTTTATAGATATTCCCGTTAATTATGTTGGCAAGGTTGATTATTTTTCCCTTGTATTGTGTAGGTGAGTCGTTATATAATCATTAATGCAAAAATTGAAAATTATTAATTAACGCAGTAATCATTAATTAACCTTGGAAATGCGGAAGTTAAATTTCACGTATTAAATTCAATATTGAATTTTTAATATAAAGTGTTAACAAGTTTGTTTAATCTTTAGGATGAAAAACAAAGACTCATGAGGCGAAATATCGTTCGATATGCGGTTTTAGCCTATGTGATTACACTTCAAAGGGTTTCATTAAGAGTGAAGAAACGATTTCCAAGCTGGCAACACGTGGTTGATTCTGGTAAGTGGAAATTGCATATTTTAAAGATTATCTTTTGTTGTTACAATAAAACATATCTATCTTATTATAAATATTTATTGCGCTATAAATTCAATATATCATTCGTTCGGGCAGACAATTTTACAAAAATGTGTTAATAATTTATTACAAATATATGTAAATATTTCGTGGTGCTGTGTTTTCAAAGCAGATATCTTGCGCTTACTTACATGGTTATTTATACTCGACATCCCATCTGTTTTATAGAACACTGGTAGCCTTTTGGAATAAAAAAATTACCACAAACGATATTTGTTGTCGCGACGCCCAAGAAATTATATTTTCTAGAAACTTCTGTCTTCAAAATTAAAACTTTTACAAATTCTTAATAATTATAAATATAAAACACTTTCTTCGATATCTCTATTTGTGTTTTAGAATAGGTTAAGTGGATAATTCTATCGTAGGTTACTGTGAAGTAGAGATTTCAAAAAATAATAATCATTCTTTAACACGTTGACTGCCGCAATAGTCACTAAAAGTCTATCCATTCTGGCCGGAACAATTTTAAAATTAAATAGGCATGGGAATCAACTGGTGCTTCTCATGGCTGTTGTGGAAATTTTGCCGTGCATCAAGTTACGCTTCTCATGGCAATCAACGTGTTAATAGTTATTGTCGTTGTTGATTACTGATATGTAATTCTATATATTCCAGTTTTCTTCTCTTGATGGTGTTTAAGACTTCTAAATCCTTCTCCATTTGCTCCATCACTGTCCTGTTAGTTACTCTATCCCCCTATGAGATCCACAGTACTCTTCTATAGAGTTCCATTGCGAAAGTTTGGAAAGTTTTCTTCTTTGTGTTGACTCGGTTCATGTGCATGACTCCACTCCATAGAAAAGCACCGAGAATATATAGCATCTTAGGAGTCTGATTTTGATATCAATGCCGAGGTCGTGATTTTTGACCAGTTTAGACAGATGTCTAATCAGATGATTGAGGGCAGCTCTTGCTTTTTCTATTCTGCACCTTATCTCCTGAGAATGGTTCCAACCCTCATTAATCACGGTCCCCAGGTAGGCAAACTGTGATTCCCTCTCTATTGATGTGTTAACTATTAAATCATACCTTCCAAATGTCTCCTTACTAATTACCATTAGCTTAGTCTTATTAAGGTTAATCTCTAAGCTGTATTGGCTGCTGACATCACTTACTTTGTCCATAAGTTTTTGTAAAAATATCGTAAGCATATCGAATATTGTTCCAATGCTCTCTATTCAGTAGGATTCGTATGTTGGTATCCTCTAAGGTTTCTCCATCATTTACAAGTTTTTCCGCAGTTCTTGAACTTCCGTAATCTTTCTCACCTTCTTACGCATATTGAACATATTCAATTTGTCTTGCAAAACCTTGATTTCATGGCATTTCTCACCTAACTCATTCGTTTGGCTTCACGAAGTTTTCTTTGTACGTCTTTCTTTATGCATTTTCCATGCTGATGTAGTGTTTTGCTTCCTTCATTGTTCCATGAGCTTCAAGATTTCCTCCAGCATCCATGATTTGTGGTTCCTTCCATCATCTTTGATGTAGTTTGATACATTGCCGTGTATACATTGCCGCTTTGGTAAGTGTATTTATTTGATCTTCTGTGTCATTGGCTTTTTCCTCAATCAAACGTACACTTATCACTGATGTCTTTCTCCACTTGATGCTTTACTGCTTCGTTCCTAAACTTCCTGAGTTTATAATTTGGTCGTTACTGTCAGACATTATCTCAAAAGTTTGGATTCAATTAGAAAAAAATTCCAAAGAGATTGTTTGATCTGTAACGGTTATTCTATAGTTACAATTTGTCACTTTTTACAACAAAATTCTAAAGCTTTAAGATGATATATACATATTTGTTGTCATGGGGATAGTTTTCCTACCTATTCTACACAATCCATTAGTCTTCGATAGTCGTACAACGTTTGCTTGCTCCCAAAAACTTGAAATTCCCCTTTCCTCATAATCTTCCCATAATTTTTTCCTCACAATCTGCTTCTCACCATTCTATCACGCCCTACTCTGGTCCAAACATGCAATAATTATACAATAATTTTTTTGCTTGTTATCTTGTTTACGTAATATACGTTCCCGCATATGATTCGCTATAATTCGTCCTTACACATTACAGCAATTACACTTCAAACATAGCGTTTACAGTTTCCACGCATCCATAACCAGTCGATTTTTCGTCGCCTTGTAATATGGATTTCTCTTCGCTCAGTAGGTTCGAGCGCTTTGAGTTGACTCCTAGCACGAAACCCGTTACGTAGTCCAGACATCGGGAAAAACACGTTGTTAGCGCTGACCCTATGCTGTTCTTTAGTAACAAATTAAAAATTGTCAATATAACAGTTTTGTTATTAAAGTCCAGTATAACTTAAAAAGTAAAATCAATGGAGGAAAACATTATGCATAATATTATTTTTGGATCATATTGTGCATAACATTTGGTTTCATATGGCTAAAACTCAATATAATAATGGAATAGAAATCGAATATTTGTGTGGTGTTCCCAGAGATACTTGGGTAAGTCATGGAACACTTAAAAAGTTTAATCAGAAAGTTTTCAGGTTTCAAGTTCTGAAAAACCGTTTCAAGAAAAAATAATTTCTTAGGTGCTGCGATGACAAGCGTCGTTAGCGAAATTTTGTTGTATGAGGCGGTTGTACATCTAATTAATGTGGTAAAATTTTTTTCTCAAAAGTCAACCAGTTTCCTATAAATTAGGCGAAGCGTCGGGTTTGAATGACCTCGTACGTTAGAAACGTGTTTTTTAAACATTATTAGTCCAAAAACGTCTCAATAATTTTCCTTTTTTTGATTTCGGGGAATAGAAATTCGTGTTGGCGTACGATTTATTCATTTACAACTTGTTAGTACTAGGTCAAGATCCGTCTGAATAAACAAAATAGGTAATAAAAACCAATACAAGTTTTCGAAAGACATCGGAATTCTTGTTTTGTAAAAATATTAATACCTTGAATTTATAAGTTACTTAAATACTTTATGTATCTTATAATAATATCGAAAATCATTAAAAATGTTATTGGGAAAAGATGATTCCCGATGTCGTCTTGTTAAACATCTCTCCTTTGTTTTTTATTACTTTGTTGAAGCTACATACATACTTTGTTTAGCAAGCTTTGAGTGGGCGCATAAACAATGAAATATAGATTATATATATTCAGAAAGGAATCCACCTTTTAAAACGGCAAATATTTGTATCTATTACGCAGATTAACTCAGTTGTGTAAGTTTTGATTAATTTTTCGAAAATTGTCGACAATTTTTTTGTAAAGGGTGTCAAATGTCTGGAATATAGCCAATAATTTCGCCATTTGTGGATTTAAAAAAAAAATTTTTAAATACAAGTTTCTTTATTAATCGTGGCGCATTGTTTGGCGATATTTGCTTGTTGTTTTTTGTATCGTTGCTATGGCAGTCAACATTGTTATTTTAAATGGGATACACATGTTTTTTTTTTGCATACTTTCATAGAAGATAATAGTATATTATTCAACAAGCGTATAATGGCGGCTGTTACCCGTTGTAATCTGAGTGGGTAACATCCATTATACGCAAGTTGAATACTATACTTTATCTACAACTATTTAATTTTGAAAAAAAAAATCCAAAAAAGGAAAAAAAAAAAAAACTTGATAGATATTTCAGACATAACCTCAATATAAGAAAGCTGTCATTTCTGCAAATATTTTATTTTTTGATTAGTAGGCCGTGTCAGAACTGTGTAATAATGACTTCATTATTCAACACTTTGTCAGTCATGAGTAATGCGTGTTATTACTCGTCAAAAATCAATTGTATAACGAATAGATAATTCAATAGTTATAGATAAATCCTTTTATGCGATGAACATATCAAATCATATGGTTAAGAAATTGATTAAATTGTCAATTTTTGACATTTAAAGCTGCCAACGGCGTTATATCGGCGCCTATTTTGATTGTAATTTGCCGATTTAATATTTTCAGAGAACGCAATTTTTCCCGATTTTTTTCTTATACAACTATATGATTCATCACATGATATGTTCATCACGTAGAGGGATTTATCCTCTATCAAAATATGCAAAAAAACATGTGCAATAACAATGTTGGTTGCCATAGCATCGAAACAAAAAACAATGTAAATAAGTAAATATCGCCAAAAAATGCGACACAATTAATAAAAAAATCTTTTATTTGAAACATTTTTCTTTAAAACCACAAATTGCTAAGTTATTGGCTATATTCTAGACATTTGACACACCCTGTATAATGCCCAAAATACAAGGCTGTTTGTAATCATTTTAGAGCTAATTTCAATCTAATGAGTCAATCTTTTTATTCGAAGAATGTTAAATTCACCCATTTTTCTCGGAATTATTTCATTCGCTTTTAGATATCATAACGAATTTGGAGTATGTTTATATCTGGTTGGGTTGTGAATAATTTTAAGGTATTTGAATGATGTTTTACTTAAAACTCCCAGGCCAAGTATCTCTTGACTGGGTTGAGATATTTTAGTTATGTAAGAAATTATTGTTAGAGTACGTAAATGACTTCAGTTCTAAAGTATTATTAAGAATAATAGTCAAACGGCGTTAAGTCGGGGGATCTTGGAGGCCATCTTACAGGATCATTTGTACCAATCTATCTTTTTGGAAAGCTGCGGTCTAGGTACTGAGTCACTATCTGTGTGTTATGTGGAGTTGCACCATCTTCTTGATACCACCATATCGTTCTTTTTAAGACAATTGCTCTACAGAAACTCCAGGTAACGGTGACTTATTAACATATCGTGGTATAAAAAAGGTCCTACCAAAGGTCCATAGATTATTTCACAGCAAACATTGACCCCAAAAGTTGTTTGATTATTTATTTGTCCACCTAATTGATAAGATTTATGGGTTAATTTGTGAATGTTTTTCGATCTGGAATTCTTCTACCGGGATATCGTAGTATGCAAAT